TGTATGTATGTATGTATGTATGTATGTATGTATGTATGGTCTCTTATGACGAGCCGATGGACAGAGAATGGAAGCAGTGAACTTCCTCCCATATTTGGGCATACCAGGGGTTGTGACTTTAAATATATACCTTTCTCCCTGGCTCAGCTGATGGCTTAATGGTACATACATACATACATACATACATACATACATACATACATACATATATATGTCTGGATGGTCTCTTATGACGAGCCGATGGACAGAGAATGGAAGCAGTGAACTTCCTCCCATATTTGGGCATACCAGGGGTTGTGACTTTAAATATATATGATAATAATTGAAAACAAAATTTTAAAATGTCTGAAATTTCATGAAATCATCAATTTTTGAAACATTTTTCCTGTAAATGTTCAGACATTTTAAAGTCATTTTTATAAATGTAATCTCAGGTTGTTTTTTTCCATGCTAAGATTGATGAGCCCTTAAAGAGTAATATATGAAAAAAATATGAGTAAATGATTTAACCTACCTCTTGTTCCCAATACTGAGAGAAATTAATGAGAGATGGAAGAAAAATTTAGATGAATATTTAGAGAGGAACATTTTTTCTACCCATGACATGTAGGTCCTTAAGTATATTAAACTGTATCTTTATTAAGACAGTAATATTTATGTTATAGTATGTCAGTTAAGGTGGTTGATAAAACAATTTTAATTAATATTACAAATTTGAAAGTTCATATTTAAAGACTTTGAAAAATATATTTGCAGTATTCTAGTTTTAAACTATTAAATCTATTGTAGCAAGGACATATGGATGGAATAATTAAAGTGGGAAAAATACTGATTCTTTCTTCAATCAACTGATTTTGCTAAAAATTGCAAGGGAGGAGAAGTAATTACCAGCTGTTTGCAAAAGTTAAAAATCTAATCTGTTTTTTCCTTCTGGGATATAGACCATCAGCAAGAGGCCTTCTGTCACATGCTTTTTTCAAGCAGGTGAGTTTGTTATACATTTGTCTAGCTACATAAAATCACTGAGTCTTTGGGTCTAGAAAACAGAAGCTGCAACATCTTTGACTTGAACAGGAGATATCTGTTTGGAGCAGTTTAATATATAAATTTGTGCACTGGTGAAACAATGTACTATGCCATTTCTGCAAGTGTGATTTGTGTAATAGGTACTGTCCACTTATAAATCCTGTTTGAGATTAAGGTGTTGGCTTTCTTTTTTATTCGTGATTTTGATTAGTTATAGAACTGCAACTTACCGTATTTTCACGACCANACCCTGAGCCGGTGAGATTTGAACCGCTGACCTGCTGATCTAGCAGTAGCCTGCAGTGCTGCATTTAACCACTGCGCCACCTTGGCTCTATTATCTTGATTCAAACAATAACTGAGCAAATAAAATTTGATTAAAAGATCATAATGTACGAGTTCCATCTTGGAATCTTAATTAAACAAAACATCTTGGCATCCTGGATCATAATGAAAAGATTCATACAAGTTAACTCTTTCGCTAAACTCTGGACTGCTTATATCAACTGCATTCAGCAGAGCAAGCAGTCTTTTGGAAGAAATGTTTCAGTCCAGTTGTTGATTAGTAAGAGTATTGTAGTCCAATAAGTTTCAAAGGCATCAGGCTGGGACAAAAAGGAGAATGGCCTTTTTATTTAAAAAAAAATATATAAGGTTGCTTTAGTAATAATTCAAATAAGTTTTCAAGCTTTCTGAACTAAAATGTACTAAGAGCGTTTTATTTTTTATTATGACCAGGGGGAAAAGTAATAACCCAAAAGCACACTCATAGCTGGTTGAGGATCAGAAGGCTAAGATTCATCCATTATTTGGGGGTCTGGAGTCCTGCCTCAATATTTTGTGGAGAATCTTAAGAACAACTTCCAACTGCTCAGGTGTCATTTTTAAGATTTGATCCTGGTTGTTGAGCATGTCAAATATCATGCCTGCTTGATTTCTTGGAGTCTCCGGTGCAGAAGGAAACCCCCGAAGTGCATCCTTAGACACCAGACCAGCAACATTTGGAGCAGAATTTGATCTCGCTTGGCTGCAGCTCCCTTCCTCAACACCTTGTAAATCAACAAGCGCTCTTTCAATTGCTTTTTCAAGATGCTTATAAGCTTCCAAATCTAAATCTTCTATGGCAATGGAAGTCTAAACATTGAAATTAAAAAAAAATGCATGTATCATCATGACGATAAGTCATACAAAGGCTTTTACGTAAACTAGGAAGTATCCTTATTGTATCACCAAATTGTAGTATTTTTGCCTTTTCATGTACCATTATCTCATCTATCCAATTCATCACACCCTAAATATGTGCCTTAGATTAGCTAGGAAAAGCATATCTTGCATCCTATCTGTGGCAGCACAGTTTCTATTCTGACAATTTCTAATTCTGAAAGTTTGTCTCTGTGGCATTCTTTCAAAAGTCTGCTACAGAGAGATTTAGATTTTGCAGTTCTTCAGATTATAAATTTAATAAATAGAACTGTTTGGACATATAAAAAGTGCCCATTCTGTAAGAAAACATTGTCAATTTTGCCTGAGAAAACCTTATACAAGCTTTTCTGGTTTAAGGAAGTGCTTCCCAACCTGGTGTATTGGAAGAATTCCCAGAATTCCTGTCAAGCATTCTTAAATTATAATAGCTCTAACACAGGGGTGGGTTTCTCGCCCTGTTCCAACCGGTTCGGTTGGAACGGGGCCGGCAGCGTCCTCGTGCATGCGCGCAGTGCATGCATGCCTACTAGCGTCTGCGCGATGCTCCAGCTGCTCCTGGAGGATCGCGCAGGCGCTGTATGCGTCCTGCGCATGCGTGGAAGCGCAGAACTCGTCAAAACCAGGTAAGGACCGCGGGCGGGCGGGCGCGCCCTTCGCCATTCCCGGAAGTTACTTACTTCCGGGTTCAGCGACCAACCGGTTCGCAGGGACCGCCGCGAATCGGTTGAAACCCACCCCTGCTCTAACATAACTAGAGGAGCGAAATATGTTTTTAAAAAGCCAATACAATGGAGATATTCTACAACTGTAGAGATGATCAGTTGTTATTTTTTGAGAACAAGAATTCTGATCTCGCAAGCTAAATGTTCTGTTCAATTTTTGTTTTAAAAGGGTGGCCAGACTTACTCTGATTTTATACAATGCATTCAAGAATATAATTAGTCATCTTCAAGGAACAAAGTTGATTATCTTCTTACCAATGAATTTGCTTTTGCATATCCGGTGCTAGAAAATTTAATCGAGGATTTTTCTTGAACATTTTTTGATAGTTGTGAATCAGATAAGGCAGCCGTCTTGCTAAATGATTTTTTTTGTTTGATGTCATCACGTTTCTTCTCTGGCTTCGCTTTCACGCTTTCCTTTTTTGCACCACCCAATAGCGTTTTGGAATCCTTCCTGTTTTCTGTCGCGCTCAATTTTCTAGAAGGCAACTCGCCGTGTTTTTTCCCATGTTTTTCTTTCAAAGCATCCTTCGACGGTCGGCCGTGTGCTTTTTCCTTTTTGGCTGAAGGGTTCGTCCCTCCTTGCTGTGAGTGGTGCAACGCAGCATCCTTTTTCCGCTCAGACTTCTTGGTTTTGGTTTTGTGATGATACTTGCAAGCTGGCTTGGCTTCTTCCTCAGACTCCGGGTGCAAAAAGAGGAAAGTCTGGGGGTTCACTGGAAAGGGAGGCTTGGAAGCATAATTAGGAGATTTGGAAAGATAATTTTTAATTTCATTTTGGGCTCCAATGTCATGCGCGCTCAAAAAAGAGGAAAAGGGAAATGGTTCAGATGTTTTCCTCAAGGGTTCCCTCTGGGGCTTACTTTGCGATATTTCTTCGTAGGACCTTCTCTTCAAATCTGACACCTCTGGATTATCAGGGTAACCTGGCAATCTGTAACGCTCTTTCTTGCAAGTGTGCTTCACTTTTTTGCAACCAGAAGTCTGGGTTTCTTGGTTCTTCGTTTGTATTTCGAAAATACTGTTCATGAGACCACCTAGACTTTCTCTTTTATATTTTTCACTTGCAGTTGACGTATGAGGAAGGTTTTCATACGAAGGATGTTTCGCTTTGTCCGGTAAATCTACATCACTAACTTTTGAAATGCTTTCAGTACTTGAAATGGAGGCATCGTGATCCGTATCGTTCTTATCTATTTCTTTACTAACCCCAGTTTTGGGACTAGATGGTACAGGAAGCTCTTCGAAGCTTTTTTGCAGAACAGATGCTAATCCTTTTACCTCTAGTTCTGAAAGTTGTTCCGTGTTGCCTTCTTTCAAGAGCCTGCTACAGAGAGACTTTAGATTTTGCAATTCTTCTTCAGAGAACCTATCTTGTAGAGTGTGGGTTGTATGGGATACCTGCTGTGCACTCTGTTCTTCTTTGGCTAAATCTGGTCCGTTCTCTGCCCTGAGCGCCGTTTCTTTGGCTACAACTGGAAACACCATTTCCAGTATTTTTTTTAACTCTTCCTGTGTGATCAGTCCAATTTCTGAAATTCTTTCCGAGAGATGGCTTTGGATTTTCCTGTTTAAGGCAGACTTTAAATTGGCAATTTCATTCTCGGAAAGCGCCTCAAAAAGATTTTGAACGCTTTTGCTTAACACACTGTCATCAAAACCCTCGTCAGATTTCTCCTTCAAGTTCAAGGACAACTTCTGACACACAGTTTCCAGGTCATCTTTACTTAATCCAGTTTCTGCAAGTTTATCCTTCAGGTGATCCTGAATGCCTTTGCTTAGAAACGATTTTAAACTTTTTATTTCTGCTTTTAAAATCTTTTGAAGGAGGGTATCATGGAGGGAAGCATGCTTTTTTACGTTAGCTGTCTCGATGCTGAATGGTAACTTTACTTTAATGATTTCTAATGACGCGTTTGAGGATATGTTTCTTAAATCCAATGGTGATTCTTTCACTGAGCTAATTTGGCTTTTAAGAGGAAATAAAATAGACTCACTGTCATCATCTTTTCTGCTTTCATATAAATCTGCTTCTGTAAATACCGGCTTGCTTTTGGAACTTTCCTTAGTATCTAAGGATTCAGATTTGGAAAGTTCTCTTATATCACTCTCACTTAATGGTTTTATGGTTATTATTTCAGTTTGTGAAGTTACTCCTTTCAATAAAGCTTTCTTGAGCCTATCACCAGAACTCTGGAGAGAAAGCTGGTTCTCTGCTGTCACCATATCTGGGATTATCCCTTTTTCAGACAATTTTCCTATAAGTTGAGCCTGTAAGTGCTGACTTACAACATCTCTCATTTCACTAATGTCTGATTCTGAAAATGCATCCGTAGTACTAGTTGTTATTTCCTTCAAAGAAGATTTCTCTGTGTCATCTAATAGGCTGCTGTCTTCTAATTCTTGGCGTAACTCCGATTCTGAAAGTCTCTCTGCAACTAGGTTTTCAATGTTTTTGCTCAAAAGTGATTTAAGTGCTACCACTTTTACAACTTTTTCAACAAGAAAAGCTTCAAGAGAGTTTTTGAAGTAAACATTAACCTGTTTTATTTCTGCTTCTGATAGTCTTTCTCTTTGTGGCTTTAATTCAGAAGTTATAGTTGATGGCTTTGTTACTCTTTCAGCTTCCACAGCAATTTCTTTGTCTTCCCCTTGCAAACCATTTTTTTTTTCAAGGAGTCTTAATATTGACAATTGCTCGCCACTTCTGATTGATTTGGGATCTAAGCCGTTATCTAATTTTGTCAAAGGCAGACCTGGAGGTGGATCTTGGTCTTCTTGTTCTTTATCAACAGGTATGTATGCTTTTTCTAAAAAAATGGAATAGTCTATTGTGCCTTTCCTAAGCTCAGGTGGCTGTACTTTGCAAACACGTCTCAAGAAGGGCTCAAACTTGTTTCTACTATAAAATGCATCTTGGAACTGCAATTTAAAGAGAGAATGGTAGAACTAAGATCTTTTGAAATATTGATTATAAACGTGATATATAAAATATATCTTCTTTGCCATAATTTAAAATATGTTAATATTTATATTTATATTAACAAATATATTTATATTTACAAATAACTTTGTACTATATAGTATCAACCTTGTTAACTTTCAAGACTCTTTTCTCTGCTATGTATTCAAGATGAACTCTGATTAATATATATGCATGATATTTCAGTGTATAAGTATATGGGATAGCTCAGTGTACTGAACTAGAAAATGAGGGTGGGTTCTGTATTCATAGATCACCGTTTGAAGAACCACAGGTCCAGGTAAGTCTTGATCAAGATTTTTGAGATCCATGCAGAAGGGGCAAGGCACTCACACTGATGGAGAAAATAACCTGCTTCTCAAATACTACATCCCTCTGGGTATGAAGGGCCAACAAATAGTGTTGAATGAAAGAGGAGGATGTGACCATGTAGCTCAGTGGGAGTCAACCTGGTCCCCACCGCCCACTAGTGGGCGTTCCAGCTTTCATGGTGGGCGGTAGGGGTTTTGTCCGATATTGAAGCACTTTCCTTTTTTTAATTTAATTGANTCTATTGCAGTCGCGAGGAGCAAAGCAGCTGGGAGATCTTTTTCCACATATAAAGCGCACCGGGTTATAAGCCGCACTGCCGATTTTGGATCAAAATTTAGGATTTTTAGTGCGGCTTATGGTCGTGAAAATACGGTATTTGTTCCAATTCTTAGTTTTATTATAAAGAACTCATTATATCATATCTGTGGTAGGCAAAACTTATATTTGCTTGCCTTGCCCCACCCGTAGAACTGAGATAACTGTTGGCATGAACACAACTATTTTATAGAACCAGCAATGCTTTTATTTTTCTTTCGAAACAAATAGTTGGGGAAATTCCTTTTCTTGCCCAATGCCCTCATTATGTATTGGTTGTTCAGATATCTACTGTTAGGATATTACTCCATACATTTTGCTCAATGTAAGAGTTTCCTTTTTACCTCTTAACCTGAAAAAAACACACCTTTGTAGCAATTAAGGCAGCGGTATGCATTCATTTGTATCTTTCTGCATAAAAGAATTGCAATTAATATTCTGTCTTTCATTCCAGGGATCAAGGCAGCTTATGTAACACTTTTACCTCTGTTTTTCATTAAATGTAATTATTTGCACTCAGGGGAAGGGAAGTATGCATAAACTGCTGACTAAACAGTGGTTCTTAAACTATTTGACCCAATTACTCATTTTCCCTGTGTTGAATAAAGTTATTGCCCCCTCTATGGAGGCAATGCCATACTCCATGGTTTTACACAAGAATCTTGGCAGTGGCAGCCCGAGATTCATTCTTGATTCAAAAAACAGTAATCACACATTTCCTCATTATTCTGAGGATATTCCTAGATTATCCCCCAATTTAAGCACTACTGGATTAAAGGATGGCCATTTTATCTGAATTTATAATGAAATTGCCATTGACCTATCTGTAAGAAGCCCTTGATTTTCATAGTCTTTATTAGCAATCACTATTTCTATGAGCTTAGTTAGTAGCAATAATTAACACTTGGGCAACAAGAACTTGCATTGTATTTCCATAAACTTCTGAGAAAGTATTCATAATTGTTTTAATAGCTGTGTGATGTAAGGCCATTATTCCAATGACTGCCTTCTCAATTTTCAGGTGAAAGAAGAAACAAAGGGTTCATTACTTTCACTCTTGCCTCCTGCCATCCAACGTAGTCAGCCACAAATACCAACGGTGCATTCAGCTGCCACCTGGAATAAATCTGAATGTTGGTTGCCAAATGAGAAAAAGATATATTGGGAATTTTAGGAATACTAAGACCATACGGGTGGTCCTCAATTTACAACCATTCATTCAAAGTTGACCATTCAAAGTTACAACTGAACTGAAAAAAGTGACCAGTTGCTGCATCCTCGTGGTCATGTGATTGCCATTTGTGACCTTCCCAATGAGCTGACAAGCAAAGTCAGTGGGGGAAGCCAGATAACCATGGTTGTTCATTTAACCACCATAGCAAAAAATGACATTTAACAACTGCTTTCCTTAGCAATGGAAATTCTGGTCCTAATTGTGGTTGTAAGTCAAGGACTCCTATGCTTCTTTGGAAAATAATGTGATTTACTTGCTGCTTTTGTTCAAATAAAGGTTTTGTTTTGTTATACTTGAAAATGCTAAAGGCTTATACAGATGATGCTACACAGAATTTTTTTCAAAGTGGTATTATGAGAATTTATTTACCTTTCCTAATTGAATTTCAGAAATATCTGTACAGTTCTTTACATCTTTGTTACATCTGAACTGTAATAGTATCCATTTATATAGTAAATGGATTTGCTTGGAATGGCATATGCTTTTACAGTACTTATGTTCTATGACTACCTTTCCAATATTAATCTGAAATGTTGTTTCCATTCTTTATTTAATGCATTGTTAATCAACTCTTTATCATCAAGTTTATAACAAATATATAACTTCTTTAAAATATAGTGTCTTTTCCTACTTGCAAAAAATATCAATGTGGAAATCTCTTGAGAGCGCTGGGTATCTACTATATAACTTTCAGTGGTTGTTGAAGTAGCCAACACTGTAACTTGAAAAAAAAATAGCTGTTTTTAATGGAACATGTGTCTTTGAGAAATCAGATTAAGGGAAAAAATAATTTGCCAAATAAAAGCTTGAAATTACTTGACTATATACTTAAGAATTTTGCTTAATTTTCATAGCTTTAATTGTGATCTGCTGTTCAGGAAATATATTCATCCTTCGAATAAGTAGCCAAAATTTGTAGGACTAATATAAGATCTGTATTATAGAGGCAAAGTGACGATTAGCCCATTAGGGCAAACTATATTGTGGAAGGCTTTGAGCTGTGTTCAGTGGTGTCATCCCACTGAAATACAATGGATTGTGATTCATAGCTCATTTCCTTTCCACTTCTTCGGTCCAGGGTCAGTGGAAGAACGAGAGGTCTGGTTAATATTACTCATACTCAGACATTTGGGGGAGTGGGGGGGCGAAGGTGATTTCTAAGTCATCATCTTGTCTTTGTAGCTTTGCTTTTCTTGAGAAGAGAAAGTTCAGTCCTAATTACAAACAGAAAATAAAGGAACAGGAAAAAAAAGGCTGCTTTCTGTGAATAGTACTGTGAATAATTGAACAAAGTAAGCCTAAATTCTTGTTACCTGTACACATACTTTTGGAGGTGGTTTAATATTTTATTAAAAGATTTTTCGATAATGTACATTCTATTTACCCGTGTAAAAATAGAAATTAGTTTTAAGTACACAATCTTATTTAGCATCACAAGTGACCTTTTTAACTAGGAAACTACTGAAGGGAAATTATGTATTGTCAATTTAATTCTGACAAATTTAATTGTAATAAAATATTATTTAACAAAGATCATTTGAGTGAATGGTGCTTTATTTCATGCTCATCAATAAGAGAATATACAATGCTAGCATCGTAATTTAGAAGCCCTATTGTTTTAGACAGATTGTTAAGTAAGCATGATTAGAATAATACCTAGAACTATTTTGAAACCAGTAAATAATTTTGTCTGTAGCAAAGACAGTACAAGCAGGTTAATCTAGAGCAGTGTTTCTCAACCTTGGCAACTTGAAGATGTCCAGGACTTCAACTCCCAGAATTCCCCAGCCAGCAAATGCATTCGCTGGCTGGGGAATTCTGGGAGTTGAAGTCCTGGACATCTTCAAGTTGCCAAGGTTGCGAAACACTGCTCTAGAGAAAACTGCGTTGTGTTTGTCAGGAGGTTCTAAAGCAAAGAATACATAAAGAATCTGGTGGAAAAAAATTAACAGTGTTGTTTTGCTCTATCAATAAATATCTATCTTTGTGAGGAATAAACCATGATGATTTGTAGTTATAAAGATACTTTGAACAATCTAGATTGATCAGCATTTTTCACAGTTTTTTTCCCCTAAGTGTAACAATACTTCATGTTAAAATACTTTTTGTGAAAAAGAACAGATTTGGTCCTAAAGGTACACTACCTTCTCATTTTGTAAAAACATCATAAAAGTCACTGTTTTCTTTTATCACTTCAACACGATACACAAAATCCTCCTTGAAGTCATAACTGAAAACTTGTTTTTGTTCTAAAATCCAACCATAAATTTCAGTCACAAGCTGTTTTATCAGGAGTAACTAAATCGATACCTTTTTTTAAATTATCCCTTTGCAGAATAGGAAACAAATTTGGTGTTCACTTTTGGGACAAGGGTCTAAAACCTTTCCTGATAGTTTCTTTTCTTGTGACATTTAGTTTTCATGACTACTGGCTTATAGGTCAGTTTAATTCTTTATGGTAGCTTAAAGTTTTTTTTATGGCATAAACGTTTATGGATTAAATTCCATTTCATTAGATCTTTGAAGAATATGCATACAATTTAATCAATATGAAGGAAGAGAAAATAGAGGAAAGTGGAGTCAGAGAGAAATTACATGCAATAAAGAAGCTGCCAATTATATAGAACCACAGGAACAGGAAAAGTCATTTCAGTGAACATTAACAGCAGGCAGTTAATCTGTAACTGAGTCTAAGTAGTCATTCAAACCTTCAGCACATTTGTTTTGAGTCTATAGATTTAACCTTCAAAAACTTTGGTGAACTGCCCCACACCATGCAGCCATAGCAATAGCACTTAGACTTATATATCGCTTCTTGNCTGAGGGAGAGAAGTGGATAGGAGAGGAGAGGCTTCTGTGGGGCTGGACTGAGGGAGAGAAAGGGATAGAAGAGGTTTCTGTGGGGTAAGGCTGAGGGAAAGAAGGGGATAGGATACGTGAGTGACTCTTTCCAAGAATAATTTTCACAGAGTTCAAAATGGTTGAAAGAATTGATATTACATGAGAAATTATTAAATCAAAGCAAATATTTTGAAAAATTGGTCATCTTCTGGTGATAAGATAGGTGGGGCTTCCGTGGGGCAAACCTGAGGGAGAGAAGTGGATAGGATAGGTGGGGCTTCTATGGGACTGGACTGAGGGAGAGAAGGGGATAGAAGAGGTTTCTGTGAGGTAAGGCTGAGGGAAAGAAGGGGATACGGGAGTGAATCTTTCCAAGAATAATTTTCACAGAGTTCAAAATGGTTGAAAGAATTGATATTATATGAGAAATTATTAAATCAAAGCAAATATTTTGAAAAATTGGTCATCTTCTGTAGGATAAGACTGGGGAGCTTCAAGGCCTAAGGCACTGGTAATGTGTAAAAGATGCTCAACATACAGTCTATTTTCTCTGACATGGCTGTATGAACTGGTTATCCCTGCTGATCTGGAGAAAGAGGAATTCCTCAACAGTCAAGTTTTCATTCATTTCATTCATCAGTTGGGATCATTTATGATCACAATTCTGCATTAACGTTAAATGAAAAATTATAATTTAATACATAAAGGAGGAATGCATACGGATTTTTTTTTATCATGGAAACAGGAAAAATTAATTATACCAGTTTCCTTGCAAGAATCATTGTTGAATAATATTTTGCTTTTTTGAGGATATATTCAGTGACATAGAACAGTGATTTACAGGAACTGATTTGCAGAAACTGATAATATTCATTCAAAGCATCAGGAATGGTAAAAATTGAGTGCTGAGTAAAGAGATTGATCTTTATAGTGTAATGATGCCGAATTCAAGTAAAAATTCTCATTGTTTTGGAGGCCGGAACTACCAATAGCAAGGAACGAATGCCAAATTATATTTAAGTAGTGGCATCTCAGGACATTAAGACATCCACAGTAATTGGGGAAAACTGCAGGAAATAAAGCAAATGTAAATCTTGTTATAATCAAGATAGCAGTTAATGGTGCTGCATGAGGGCATGCTGATGTGGAAGGCACATCTGGGGTATTTGAGGATGGCATCTGGGGCCCTACAATAGGTGGGAAAGCAACAGTCAAAAAAATTAATATTAATAAACTTGTAAATATGCAAGAGTGTTCCGATCAAGCACAATGGGGTAACACAAAGACTTTGATACTTGAATAAGTGCTGAAGAAAAAAATTCCAGTACCAAGAAAGATGTCAAGGAGGGCAACAATAGCAAGAAACTTTATTGGAAGAGAAATTGTAAAGATTCTCTAACCCCCTGGCAGAGACGAGATGTGAGCTTGTCTGGTGCTAAGCAGCTAGCCTAAGGAATGTCAGAAAAGTGTACTGTCTAATTCTCTCTCTTTCTCTCTCTTACACACACACACACACACACACACACACACA